GAATTTGGAGTTGGGACTAGAAGAGACTAGCTTCAAACAGGTTGCTTGTTTAACATAAAAGACATAAATTTAGAAAGTCGTTTCAGCAGCCGTTTTCCATCATGTAGAGAAAGTAACAAAGAAAGCCAGTCTAAAGCAGGAGTGAGAGGATGATGCGGGCATGAGGAGAAACACAACAGAGGTGAGAACAGATAGAAAAGATGTCCTGGGTTATCTACAGTGCTTCAGTTTTGGGTTAGAGTCATTCCCAAGACCTAGACACTTTGAAGGTCTTAGGATCCACGGGGCACTCTTCTATCTCAACCAAAAATAATCCTTACTTTATTTAATCAAGTTCAATTTGATTTCCATTACTTTAAACCAAGAATTTTGTCCAGGCACAGTGGCTCATGCCTGTAATCTCAGCACTTTGGGAGGCTGAGGTGGGTGGATCACTTGAGGCCAGGAGTTCAAGACCAGACTGGCCAACATGATGAAACCCCATCTTCACTAAAGATACAAAAATTAGCCAGGCATGGTGGTGGGTGCCTGTCACCACAGCTGTTTGGTAGGCTGAGGCAGGAGATTTGTTTGAACCTGGGAGACGGAGGTTGCAGGAAGCCAAGATCGTGCTACTGCACTGTGGCCTGGGTGACAAAATGAGACTTTGTCTCATAAATAAATAAATAAATAAGAGTCTTAACCCATGGACAGTAATATTGATAATAAATAAGATGTTGTGGGGACAATTTTTAGAAGGAGGAAAGGACCAAGAAAGGAAAGATCTTGAATAATAACATTGAATTTTAGGCAGAAAAGAGGAATTCACAAGACATTGAAAAGCTGAGAAGTGGCCAGAGACAGAACATCTAGAACCTCTGTTGTCTTGCAAGTCAGGAGAAAACCATTTTGGCAAAGAGGTAGAGGTCAGCAACTTTAAATTCTGTTTACTAGTCATAAAACATGAGTGAGATATGGCCCCTCTATTTAACAAGAGGGAGGTTATTATTAACCTTGGTGAGAACAGCTGGAGTGGATTGGTGGAGGTAGAAACCAAAATTTTGAGGGGTGGTGTTGGATAACTATGAGGAGTAATAGTAAGAGGAAGTAGAAAGAGCAAGGACATGTAACCCAACCAATAAATTTGATTTTAAAGACAGAGAAGTGAGAAGAGTACTTGGGATTAATAGATTTTTTTGTCAGGTGTGTGTGTGTGTGTGTGCATGTGTGTGTGTGTGTGCATGTGTGTGCGTGTGTACTATGCACTTTGTAACCATGTCAACGTGTTTAAATTCTAATGGGAAAGAAACACCAGGAGAGGGACATACTGGAGATACAGTAGAGAGAGGGTACTGCTAACATTAGGCCATGAGAAGGCCAGAGGGGTGGGATCTTGACAGCCGTGAGAGGCAAGTCTTCCACTGCAAGTTGAGAGAAGGAAGAAAGGTGGTAAGTCTGAGATAAGATGCCTGTTCTTTGTCAGGGAATTAAGCAAGTGTGACCATGCGACACAGCTCTATTTTAGAGTTAGTTTTATTTGCCCCTTCCTAGCCACATTTATTTTTCTTCTTCAAGTGCTGGAGACATGGGACCTTATTACCTTGCCATCCTGTGAGAAAGGTGGTTGGAGCCAAGGAAATCTGTGATCCAGCCCAAGCCTTCTCATTGTTTGATCAATGTCATCCTGCTGTTTTGTTCTCTCCTCACCACATAAATTCTGTCCTCTGTCCATAGACATTTAGAAACATTTATTCTCTCAATTAAATTAAAAGCTCTTTGTGGGAGAAAAACATGTATTGTCCAGTTTTGTGTCTTTCCCTTTAGTAATTTACATACAAATGGCTTTCAAAAACAATTATTTCATAAATTGAATAAAAATTCTACCTAATGTCTAAACAACAATTTATTATCGAACAATCCTTTTTCACTTCAAATACTTAAGTATCATAATTTCTGTTTACCTCATAAAAAGGGGTTGATATATATGTTTTCTAAAGATCACAGAAGATACTTTGTAGCATTTATTTCATTTGTTGATATTGTAGAAGCTCTTATAATGTGATTCATTTTAATGAACCTCCAAATAAGCCACAAATTACTGGATTTTCTTTTTTTCATAGTTTATTAAAGATTTCTTCTTTAGTTCTTTTCAGATCTATTTCAAATCTATTGCAGAGTCATCCAAAATTTAAGAAATCTAGATTAATTTTAGACATCACAGAATGCAGCTAGTGTTTCTGTGGTTTCATGTGTCTAATGTCTCTTGAACACACCCTTCAATATTGGTAATATCATATCCTGTCAACATTCCTTTTCCCCCTCCCCTCTGACATGAAGCCTGTATTTAATACCTGTTAACCTAAATATATTCCAACGCAAGTCATATGGTTGGGAATGCCTTTATGCTGTTAGGATTTCTAATACATTTTTTTCAATTTTCATTTATTCAAAGTAACTAGATTCAAAATCCAGTTACTTTCACATTTAATATTCAGCTTTGCCCTGAATTCTGAGCCACCAACAATGTCTGTTTAATGGTACTTTGCTGCCCTCTAGCTTATGTTTGAAAAGTTTTCTGTAATGTAACAATTTATTCAGTAATCTCTTGGATATGCCCAAGAAATTGATATTCATTCATATTTAATGAATCGTTTATTCATGGTTTTATAAAAATTAAATTTTTATAGTTATAAATTAAAGTGTTACTGTTCTTTCCAGGTAAAACTGATCTTACTAATCTTAAGAAACATCTAAAAATAAAATAAAATAAAAAGCTTTGTTATGTCACTGTGTAGCAGGTTCTCAGCAAATTCCTTTTTCCCTTAACTTACACATTTCCCCTCCATGTAGGTTGACTGTTTTCAAAAAGCAATGTGTTTTCTATATTTTATTGTTTACACAGCCAGAGAGAAGTAACAGATCTTTTATGCTCTCAGTGAATGTTGAGTTCTTATCAAATATTTCTAAAAATGAAACAAAATAACTGAATAGCACTATTTTAAATTCTAAGGATGGTTAGAAATTTCAACCACGTGTTTTTTGTGTGTTCCAAAAAAATATTAAACTACTTAAGGCTTGAATTACTATTCTCAGACAAAAGTTCTAAAATAATGTTAATGGCATCATACTTCTTTGTGATGAGATCTTGGCCTGGATAGAGTTATCAAGCACATATCTACTACCAGAACAATTCCATATCTGGTTTGCTGAGATTTATTTGTAGTCTAACATAAAACAATGCAGTGAAACTACATTAACTTGAACTGCATATTAACAAAAAGGAAAGGTCCAATTATTTACCTACTTCTGTTCATTTTAATGCCTGGAAGCCTTAAAATTAAAATGTAGTGTTCAGCATAATTTTCAGCGTTGTACTCAGCTGAAACTGTGTAATGAAGGGCATTTGGGTGTAGCACAGAGACCGTGAGACTCAGAGTAGAAACCTGGATTTGATTCGTAGTTCTTTCAACACAAATTTTCTGGGTCTTAAATCTTTTGTTTTTAAAAGTAATAAACATACCTTTCTCGTAAGATTGTAGAGAGCATGAAATAAGGCAATGAATGAGAAAGTGCCCACATGATATGTTGTACTAGGAGCTTAATAAACCTTCATTTATTCTATATCTAGTATAAACATTCAATTGTTCCTAGTCTTCTAATTAAGGGTAATTCTCTGCCTTTCTTTCTCCCTTTCCCTTATCAAAGTTTTCTTGCTGTTTGCGTGTCTTTTTATTTACTGTTTTTCAGTCAGGCTTCTTTTTACAAAATCTAGCTACTTTAAGAAAAAGAGAAATTTATTAAAAGATATTAGATATTTAATAAAATCTGGGAAGGCCAGAAAAATCAGGTTCAGAAGCTGCACTTGACTGTTCCAGAGACCTAACAGCCACTGGCACTAGGCAACAGCATCACCAACGCCCCCACCACAGTGCCACCCCAGAAGGGCACCCATGGCTTCCTGTCACTGCCGCCTCCCTCAGGCTCAGCAAAGTGGAGTCCAGGGGGATTTTATGTCTGCATCTGATTGGTGGTGTCCTTCCACCATGGCAGCAAGAGAAACTGGGAAGTTGAGGTTCTGATTTCTACTTTGAGAGACAAGACCTCAAAGAATAGGAATTCCACAAATGTAAGAAAGCTATTGAAAGGTTCCAGATGGCTAAAAAGCATGGCAACTTCACCTTGCTCTCTGTTTTTTGTTTTTGTTGTTGTTCGTTTGATCCCATCAAGCTAATCAAATGGTGTTTTAGGAGTTTCTAGAAGCAGAAAACCTGAAGAAGTTCATCTAATGGCAGAAATAGCAGGATCAGTAAAAAACCACAAACTGTTGATCTTCTCCACTATCTCCAACTCTATTCCTCCCTGTCTCTGGGTATGTGAATTTCTGTGTTTTATGCTGGAAAAGCATAGTACTGTACTATGCTAATAACACATGCATTGATTGATGGATTAAACATTAATTGAATTGCAGAACATATGCAAGAAACAAAAAATATTAATGCAAATGTAAGTAAACTCTGTTCCTTTTATTCTTAGAATTTACATCCTAGTTAGAAAATATATAAACCCCTAGTTATAGGCAGCATGAAAAGAGCTTTAACAAGGAAAACACTGTGCACATAGGTAATGTTTAAAGATACAGGCCAGGCGCGGTGGCTCAAGCCTGTAATCCCAGCACTGTGGGAGGCCGAGGTGGGTGGATCACAAGGTCAAGAGATCGAGACCATCCTGGTCAACATGGTGAAACCCCGTCTCTACTAAAAATACAAAAAATTAGCTGGGCATGGTGGCGCGTGCCTGTAATCCCAGCGACTCAGGAGGCTGGGGCAGGAGAATTGCCTGAACCCAGGAGGCGGAGGTTGCGGTGAGCCGAGATCGCGCCATTGCACTCCAGCCTGGGTAACAAGAGCGAAACTCCGTCTCAAAAAAAATAAATAAATAAAAATAAATTTAAAAAAATTAAAAAAAAAAAGATACAAATTCTAACCCCTGTAATGGAAAACCCAAGGTTGAAAGTATTGTCCAGTTATAACTATATCACAAACATACTGGTAAGCATATTTTGTTAAACAGGTGACTGGAAATATGTCAATACACTATTCTGTTTTGTGATAATCTCAGACTTCACTGTACGCTTTCAATTTTTATTCAGACTCAAGTTTTTTGATCTTTCATTGCCTTCAAATCATCATTTCAAGCTTTGTTGTTATTCAGACACTGTAAAATGAAATTTTAGATTATAAAATGTCCTTGAAAATAGACTACAATACTAATGTTTTAGTTTCTAGTCTTAAAACATTATTGCTTTTAATTTACATTTCTTATGTATACTCATTTAATAACCAACTTTAAATTCAGTAATCACATTTTCCCCTAAGCTTTGATTAGAACAATTACAGTAAATGAAAATAAGAAAGTAATTTTTGTAAAGCTATTCATAAAGCATCCTTTTTGAGCCATAAAGAAGCTTTCCAAATAGTTTTTTTCAGTGTTAGGCCTAAAAAAATTATTTCTGTTCTGCTCAAGCTACACAGATCCAAAACTCTTTCATTGTCTGTTCATCTTTGTCTTGGTCTCCCCTAGTATGATGGCTCCCAGAAGAAGCCTTAGCACAAAAACGGTACTCAAGAAGTGCTGCTGAATGAATTTCTGACCCTCTTAACCCAGAACAAGAAGGTGGAAATATCAGCAGAAAGTCCCTTTAACAATAAAAAGTCTATGAACAGATGAAAAAAATAGAGAAAAAGATAACTGATTTTTACGTGTACCTACCCCAATTTGTCTTTAGCCCTGAAGTCTGTTGGCCAGTGCCTCTTCTGGAGTTGCTTTAAAGAACAAGAATATACATCAGCACATACCTAACTGAAATATTGGTGGAGACTGCCACATCAACTTACATTATCAATTAATTTGTAATCTATGGCTGAATATTTTCTGTTGACTCACTACTGTATGCTTAATACTGAAGATCGTATTCCTGGTTATATAATTCCATCACATGGCATTCTGAGTACTGTGTTTTTAAAGTTATGCTAATAATGTGTATGGGGGAAAAGGGACGTCAAACCACTGTGATTATCAGTGTTTTTATAATATCTTTTACTCATTATGGTAAAATGAAGTCAATTCATTAGACATGTTTCAGCCGGGCATGGTGGCTCATGCCTGTAATCCCAGCACTTTGGGAGGCCAAGGGGCAGATCACAAGGTCAGAAGTTCGAGACCAGTCTGACCAACCTAGTTAACCCCCATCTTTACTAAAAATACAAAAGTTAGCTGGGCATGGCAGCAGGCACCTGTAGTCCCAGCTACTTGGGAGGTTGAGGCAGGAGAATTGCTTGAACCAGGGAGGCAGAGGTTAAAGTGAGCTGAGATCACACCATTGCACTCCAGCCTGGATGATAGAGCGAGACTCTGTCTCAAAAAACAAAAAGAAAAACATATTTCATTAAGGCCCATAGACTATAAAGGGATATGCCACTTTATAAGGATGGGGTAGAGCCAATCCCATTTTTTACATGTGTGAATTCCTTTGATTAACTCAGATTATCCTCTCTAGAAGTGGGAAGATTGAAGAAGTCACCTTTCACTGTTCTTATATCTTTATTCTTTCATTCCTAAATCCCTCAAATTTCCCAAGACTCCATTGCAAAAAGAAAAGAAAAGAAAATGCACTAAAAAACTTCCATACAACGTTTCTACTTTCACCTCTTTGCACTGAAACTATTAACATGACCACATTCAATCTTAATGAAGGCTCAGAAATTTCATTTTATTTTTTATTGCTTACAATGAACACATTGAGGTTTTATTACTGAGAACATATGGAAAAAGGAATATCAGCAGACAGCTAGAAAATTGGCATGAGGGTCCTCCTTATCCCTCCCATGATGTAGTGTGTGGGATTTCATTCTGGAGGTTTCAGGACAGATTCCCTTCCTTACCCCACCTACACTACACTACACTACCTTTCTCTCTACCCCATATGCATCCATGAGCTTTATTTTCTTTTCTTTTCCTTAGACAGTGTTTCACATGTCACCCAAGCTGGAGTGCAGTGGTGAGATCATGGCTCCCTGTAGCCTCAAACTCCCAGGCTCAAGCGATCCTCCCTTCTCAGCCTCCTGAGTAGCTGGGACTACAGGCATGTGCCACCATGCCAGGCTTTTTTTTTTTTTTTTTTTTTTTTGGTAGAAACAGGAGTCTCACTATTTGATCCAGGCTAGACTCAAACTCCTGGCCTCAAGCCGTCCTCCTGCCTTGGCCTTCCAAAGTGCTGGGAACTTTCTTCTTATGTATCCAAATACACTTCTCCTGCTCAAAGGAGAAAAGAAGGGAGTAATTAGTGAAAGACAGACTGACTTTCGCTATTTAAGCTACTGAGTACTCTGAATTTTAATAAGAGGATCTGAGCCAAATTCTAATCCTCTGCTTGTGTGTTTGCTATCTAAATTGAGACCACAGTCCATTTTAATTGAACATAAAATCTGCTGTTTGATCCTAAGAAATAGAACAGTGTTTTCATTTGCTAGTAAGTAGATTTTGGACTTCTTCCCAAAAGAAGCTAAACTTTAGTGATAGTTACAATATTATCTCATTCAAACAAAGGCCTGGAACATGTAATATTCTCTGGGGAGGTACCAACCTCTGTGAGCAGAAGATTCAGTGATTTGAATAACAAACTTAAACTCCAGACATAGCCCTGGCTACCCAGGCAGTTATTCTCACACTCCACAGAACACTAGAGGTTTCAGAAGGACACCTAGTTTCAAAGAATGAAGCAGAGTAGACAGGGCCCACCTACCCTCACACACATACTTCATTCTATCTACATTTTATGTATTGAACTTCTATATGAAGCGTTGTTTGAAGAAAAGCTTTAACTACTTTTGAAATCTGACATTGTTGTTTTCAACCCCAATTCTCTTCCTTATGGATTTGTTTCTTAAGAATGTTATAACCTTGAAGTTCATAAGCCTTTCAGGAGCAACTGGAAAAGGGTGAAAAGAGAAGAACTTAGGGGAAGCTTCTGCCTACTTGTTGTTATATTTTGGCAAAAGTTTCTTTAACTTATTTAGAAAGACCACAATGATGCATACAACCTAGATTCATAATATGATTTGATTAGCAAGACTATATTAGTGTATTTGTCTCACTGGAAGTCAATTTATATGTACCATTAAAATTATTCCTCCTTTTTTTTAAGTCATTTAATTTTTGCTTTCTAATGCTTAAGTCTTTTTTTTAATGTGTGAATATATTTATCGCCCCCCAAAATTGAATATTTGTATCCAGATCAGCATACACATAGGAGATGATGACTAACAGACAAGATCTGGTAATTTGCCTATTAAAGCTTCACCACAACTTTATTGTTTGTTTCTGTTATCAGGATCTTCTCAGCGGTCCTACTTCATCTGTCAAATATTCCGTGGAGACAAAAAAACAAAGGCAAGTGTTCTTAGTCTTGTTATTGTCACTGTTGTTAACTATAAAAGTTCAGTCTTTTTGTTTTGGTAGATTAGCTTTAAGTAATAATTACATCTCTAAAGAGTAGTTGTGAGTTCTATTCTAAATAAAATACTCTAAGAATTTATTTCTCTCTGCATCTCTTTCTTCGCTCTCCAACTCATATTTCTTCATGACAACAAAATATCGAATAAAGGTTTCTCCTAGAGCCTGCCTCAGACATTGATCTTCTTCCAGTGCCACAAGGGCATCTTCCAGTTTTAAAGGGATCTCGGAAGGTTCTTCTTGGTAGAAGTCTGTGCTCTCATCTGGACCGGCCAAGACCTCATCACTTGTATGAAGTCCATCTAGGCCTGCAGCCACAGTTGCAGCCAGCACCAAGTAAGGATTTGCTGTTGCTGAGCCTAGTTTATTTTCTATCCGGGTGCCTTTCTCTCCATGACACTTGATATTAAATATACAGCTGTTATCATTGTATCCCCACGTTGCAGGCACACTCTCCTTCAGGTCTTTTCTGTCCTTGGAATAACGCTTTCGGCAGCTAACAGCAGGCGCCATCAGGCAACTGAGAGCAGCAGAATGTTTCAAGAGTCCTGCCAACCATTTTTTCCCAGTAATCGTGATCTGCTCAGTTCCACTGCTGCTGCAGAACATGTTTTTCTTCCTATCAACATCCCAGATACTATGAGACAAAACCCCTGAATTACAAAGTCCAGTCTCAATGAAGAAGCTGGTGATGTAATTATATTTGCTTGCTACTTCTTTGACACCTGTTCTGAGGGTAAATGCGTTATCAGCTGAACTAATGCCAAATTCAGGCAGAAAACAGATTTCCATCTGACCAGGCCTGGTAGGGGAGGAAAAACTCTCAACATTGGCTCCAGTGTGATATAAGCCATCAACAAGTTCCTGCATGAAGGGCTGATCATGGTTATTAAAAAATGTTGAAGCAGGAAAAGATATGGTCTTTGAATTTAAAATTTCTGGCACACCAAAAATGCAAAAATCATAGATGAAGGCAGAAAGCAGGGAAAAGCCAGAGGCCTGTAGCTGGCTCAACTGCCTTTTCGCAATGTACCTTGGGGAAGTCAAAAGAGGCTCACCAGTCACAGTGAAGGTATCACATATCACTCTTGCAGTTCTCTCAGCCCATGGCAAAACTCTAAAGGTTGATACCTCTGGCATTAGGACTATGTCACTATTAAAACAGGTGGCTCTTAGGTGATTCATTTCATTGTCCTTAGGATTTGGCATCACTTCAAGATAACCTCGGGGCATGCAAACGCCTTGGCTCACTTTCTCCTAAAGAAGGGAAAAAATTAAGAAATTAGGTTTTGAAAACAAACAAAAGGGTTGGGGGAAAAAAGCATTGCTAATGAAAAAAAATATATACATATATACACATAAATATGTATATACATATACATATATATATAAATATGTATATATATACATAAATATGTATATACGTATACATATATATATATATATTTAACATCTGTTGGTTAACACTAACTTGATATCAGATGTTAATTATTTTAAAATAAAACCACTTGATATCAGATGTTAAATATTTTAAAATAAAACCCCCAAAGGCAACTTTATAAACAATGCAACGTTTTCAGCCTTGAAGGCCTTATATGCTCTTAGATCTGAAAATTGCAGTTATAAATAAAAGGCATAATGATAAAGAAAATCACATTATAGCAAAAACAAAGGTAAAGCCTTATGGAATTATTTGAAATTATCATCAAAACTACTTTCTGAAGCACATTTTATTTTATAGTACAGTTAAGCCTTCAGATAAGGCTTTATTTTTGCTTCTTTTATTGTAATACTGAGTTAACTGACTCTCAAAAGTCTACAGTAAACAATTCTCAATCCTTCTCAAATTGCAGACTGTGGTCAGTACCATGACACACAGCACGTCTGTTCTGACACCAGAGGGCCAGGAAACTAACAGCTGCCTTCCTCTCTTTATTCACTTTTCCAACCCATTTAAGAATTAAAAACCTCACTGTCTCACAGTCCCAGAAACCTCATCTGTGAATGTGGACCTATAACTCCAAAGTTATAGGTTCCGAAATGTTGTTACCTTTTAAGTCAGCATGAACTGGGCGTCAAAGATCTGCCTTCTCATCCTAGCTCTTTCATTAATTGCTTCTGTGAATTTCAGCAAGTTACTGGATTATGTGCCTCAGCTTCCACATTGGTAAAACAAATGTTAGACTAGATGACTGCTAAGGTACTTTCTAGCTACCTATCTCTGGGGTTCAGTGATTTTGGTCCTTTATTTAACTTTTGCTCTGTTCCAGGCAGTAGGGAAGTGATAATAAGGTTAAGCTGAACAGACGCATAAAACAATTTCTGGAAAATATGTGTAAGAAATATCAACAAGGTTGAAGGTTACATTAATAGATGGAGAAAAATCACTGACTGTAAAGGTTGGTTCCCATGAAGTCAGTGAAGATCATGAGGTTAAGAAAACACCCTAGCAATCTGCAAGCCACATGCTTTCTTCTTCTTTCTTTCTTTTTCTCTTTTTTTCCCCCACTTGTAAACAACAGAAACTTATTCCTCTTTAGTTCTGGAGACTGAGAAGTACAAGATCAAGGCACGAGCAGATTTGGGGCCTTATGAGGGCTGCTTTCCGGTTCGTGTATGGCTTCTTCTTGTGTATCCTCACATGCTGGGAGGAAGCCAGATTATTTATGTTACTTCCAGACCCCAACAAGC